AAAAAAAAAAAAAAAATAGAAAACGAAGATTTACTGGGTAGATTAGAAAATTTTATTGATTAGTTAAAATATTTACTTCTTGAATGTGACATTTTGTAAGTACGTCACTAACTGCTCAAACTGATAATCTTATTGAATAGTCAGCAATGTTGTATTGAGAATTTTTTATATTATTATTAAATGATTAAATGTTGTGATATAGTTTAACAACAAACACGTATGCTACGTAGTATAAATTGATACAGCACAGTAGAAACAGAACAGATATTTGGCGATGAGGTTATTTTTATGAAACGACTAGTGGTATGTCAGGTTATTAAAAAAATTTATTTGTACAGAAATCTATCCTACCTGCAATATAGCAGAATCCGCAGAATCCGATATGAAAATTAAGTTAGCCGACATCTAAAAACTATTACAAAGAAATTTCATTTATAAAAAACTGTAAGCGCAATTTTTAGAAAATATTTTTTTTGTTCTAATTTAATTATTGAAAAAAAAAAATTAAAAACGTCGGCTAACTTATATTTAGTATTATATTATGAATCTCATGAGATTCAAGTTGGAAGACACTTAAAAATTATTTGATTTTTTTTAACAATAAATTAGGTCTAGAAAATTATTTTTAAAAAATTGCATTTATATTTTTTTTAATCTCTTAAAAAATTTTCAAAAAGTGTCAGATGTATTTCAATTTCAGTATCATAAAATTGTTCTATATATTTTGACATACATTTATATTGACTCGTCTGTCTTCAACCTTTCTCTAATATTTGACTCATCCTTTCGTTTCAGCTATAGCAACACTCATGTCTTTTTTTTATTATTACACGCTTTTTATTAGCTTCACTTGTATGTCAGTATGTCAGTATGTCATTCAGTATGTAACTCTCCGTGGGTAATTTGCGCGCCTGCGGCCTTCCTTGGTTCTGGTAGCCGTTTCTCAGGCTCCCTCTCCGAAATCGAACTCTGATTCCCCGTATTTATAATATTTATAAATAATTATTTTATTCTCACTAATCAATAAATTACTTACTGAAAATTTAATTTAATAAAAATAATAATTTAATTAATTAATCATTTAATAATTCAATAAAAATAATAATTATAATAGTGTTAAAAATTTCAATAAATATAAATTAATAAAAGTGTAAATAAAAAATATGTATTTTATTTTAAAAAAAGCGTGGGGTGCTTTTTAAGATATTATCAAGATGATAATCACTCTACTCATATCTGTCAATAAAATATTTATAACTATTGACACCATGCACCCCACGCTTTTTTTTTAAATAAAATACATTTTTTTTATTTACACTATTATTTATTTATATTTATTGAAATTTTTAACACTATTCTTAATTTAAATTTATTTTCTATTTTTTAGTTTGGTTTTCTATAAAAAGCGTGTTTTTTAGTTTTTTTAAACTATTATTTATTCATAATAAAATTGATTAAAATAAAATACAAATACTTTTAAATCTTTCGCGCCATTGCCCACCCAGAAAAGAAAGCTACTGCGCATGTGTTGTAAACGAACCTTATTTACATAGATATAAATCTACAAACGATAAGTGGATTTTAGTTTATTGCTAATTATAATTAAACTACATTGAATTGGACCGTGATCTTCATAAATAATAGTTTAAAAAAACTAAAAACACGCTTTTTATAGATAACCTAACTAAAAAATAGAAAATAAATTTTTATAAATTTAAATTAAGAATAGTGTTAAAAATTTCAATAAATATAAATTAATACTAGTGTAAATAAAAAAAATGTATTTTATTTTAAAAAAAGCGTGGGGTGCATGGTGTCAATAGTTATAAATATTTTATTGACAGATATGAGTAGAGTGATTATCATTTTGATAATATCTTAAAAAGCCCCCCACGCTTTTTTTAAAATAAAATACATTTTTTTTTATTTACACTATTATTAATTTATATTTATTGAAATTTTTAACACTATTCTTAATTTAAATTTATTAAAATTTATTTTCTATTTTTTAGTTTGGTTTTCTATAAAAAGTGTGTTTTTAGTTTTTTTAAACTATTATTTATTATAAATCGACTGTTCCTTATTACAGTTTACTTTTTTCCGTGTATTATTTGAATCTAAAATTTTTGCATACTAAAGTACCCGCAGGTAATATAAGGCCTAGTCTAGTTAAGAGATATTAATAATGAAAAAAAAACTATAAATCTATAAATTTTGATGTTAATGTCATTATTTAAGGACATTTTATATAATAATTAAACAAAAAAAAGTAATTTTTACAGTGAGAAAAAAATGCTTCGATTAAGAAATTATTCTTGACTCAAAAACACGTGTTTAATACGTACGTATTCTTGATAATTATCAATGATCTGTTTTCTTGTCGGAAGAATTGGTCGGATTGACAAAAATAAATTTTATTTAATTTAAGACGCTATTCGCATGTTTACCCGTTTCAATTATAAAATTCTTTATAACTTCATTATTAACAAAGACAGATATTGATATTTTTTGTCAAGGAATTAAAATTAATAAATTAAAATGGTTCATTTTAACAAATTTTTGAGCTAAAAAATCCTTGTCTGGATAAAAATTTTTCCTTCTCTCAGTAAACTATAAATATGAACAAAATTATGCATTTTAATTGTAGTAGGGTAATGAGGCCTATGAATTTAGCATATTTACTTGAATAATTGAACTATCCGTGAAAAAATGTTCTGAAATGACCATATCGGACTGTGTATAAGAATAAACAAAAAATTTATAATAATTTTTTATTTTTTCTAAAAATATGTATGTCAATTATTATGTCATATTACACAAAATAGTTATTTTCGATACATATGCGCAAAGGGAGGGATTTTGACGGCTTTAAGTGACGTCACAAGTTTGAGGCTATGGGCGCATTATTATCAAGACCGAGTAATTTATCCGGACGAACGTAGCGAGTTTATTGAGTTTGGCGTCGAAAATTAACAAAAACATTTCTCGCTATTTCATTTAGAATAATTTTGATGAATTTAAAGTACAAAACTCAATAAAATATTATCGGGTTTTGTAACAAGTATGTTATTTAAAATTTAATTGAGGTATGAGCAAAAAAAACTTTTAATAAAAAGTAGGTCAGGATAAAATTTAATAGAATGACATGAATTACTTTTCCTAATTGTAACCAATACTGATAATCAATTAATAACGAGAAATAACAAGCTCAGTTTTTAAAAATTAACGATAAAAATTAAATTAATTCTAATAATAATAAATTTTTAACAAGTTAGACTCACAAATAGGTGTGATTGTACCTGATGGTGCGGCCGATTGTTTGGGTGTGGACTAGGCATGTGTGCCCCGTGATGATATACAGATACAGGATCATGCTTAAGAGGCATCGGCGTGCCTGCATTGTGCTTTCCTAAGTCAGCTGCCAGAGCCTCTGCCCTCGAAAGCAGACCGTCTTGTAGTCCGCTATTCAAACCGCCAAATAAGTCACCCTAAAAAATAAAAAAAATTATTGCTCATTTTAAATTCTAAATTTTTAATCATAGAAATATAAAAATTGATTAGAATAATTAATTATCAATAAATTGTATCGATCTGTAGTATAGTCGATAATATCGTGTACACTGGATCAATGTTTCATGTAAAAAGTACCGACATACTGAAGAGGCTTCGATTATTTATAAGTTTTCTTTTTTTCGTCATCACCCTTTCACCTGTCTTTTATCCCTCTTCGCACGCGTATTTTCACCCCTTTTTATTCTTTACTTTTTATAACTCAACTTGATTAAGTATATAATTCCATTTGTTCAATAAGGGTGAACTTGGTTTTGAACTTTTTTTTTTTATTTAACATTAATACATTGCGACAAATTATTAAATCAAACGTACATCCATTCAGCACTTTTTTTTTAACCACACTGACAAAAAAAAATTTAATTTAAGAGCAAAGATCTTAAATCAAGAAAATAACTTTAAAGAATTGGATTTTTTTCAATCAAGAAGAATAATTTTTCAGTTTATAAATTTTTTACTTAATTTAAAACTGTCAAACTCTTCAAAATGATATTCTTAATTCAACATTTTTTCTCTTGAATAAAATTAATTTTTTTAATCAGTTCAAAAAAAAAATTTAATTCATAACATTTTTTCAAAAAACAAAAAAATTTTTTTTTCTTAATTGTTTTACCATTTTGATTCAAAATAAACAGATAAAACTTAATTAAAACTTGTCTCTTGTTTTTAAAATTTTTTTCTTCAATATGGACATAAAGGTCATGTACAAGACTAATTTGCCAAAAATTAATAAAATTTTTAAATTCTATCTTTTAACAAAATTTAAATTCAAAAAGAAATTAGGTAATATAATATTGAATATTGATTTCAAAAATGTACGAAAATAAATGAACATAAGCAAGTGTTAATGACGCAATAAATCCAGTATAAAAGAAATCATATGTTATAAGTAGTGTCTTGATGTGCAAGTAAATGTAGCGAAGACAAGGTAGAAAAATATACTATTTCAGTTGGTTACAAATAGCTGTTGTTAAAAGTTGTAGTTAACGGTCTGTTGTTTCGAAAACTTGTTGCTGTTTTCTCAGTTGCTTTCATCAACTCTTACCCTTGAAGTTCATCTTGATCTCCCCACGTGTTACGCTAATAGAGTCATTTTTCCTTGATGTATTTTCGCTTTAACATGTTTCTTCTTCTTCCCATTTACTCCAAGGTACATTGTTAAAAATTAGCCAATTACAATTGAATTATCTTTTGCTATTTGTTACTGTTGTTTTATTACTCTACTTGGAATGATCAATGATGAAAACTATTTTTCGCAGTCAGCTTAGATTAGGAAATAATTTATTTTATTTTATTGTAAATAAATATATTGTTTTCAAATAAATAAATTTATAAACAATTAAATTCTTGCATTAGTGGATTTCATCTTTAACACCTATTATCAAATCGATAAAATCATATTTATTTTATATACAAATGCGAAAGAAGTACACGGAAAGAAAATTATGGGAACTATTCCTATACCATTATGGGAATGGTTCCCATAATGCTATAGGAAAAATTCCTATACTATTATAGAAACTATTCCTATATTATTATGGGAACTAATCCCATAATATTATGGGAACTATTCCTATAATATTATGGGAATGGTTCCCATAATGCTATAGAAATCATTCCTATACTATTATAGGAATGGTTTCCATAATTTATGGGAACCATTCCCATAATAATATAGGAATGATTCCCACAATATATAGGTTTGAATCTTACGCGGAAAAAAAAAATTGGGGCTGCCACATGATATATTCCTGTGGAAGATTCATGTGACAGGCAATAATGGTTAAAACAACTATAATAATTGAATAATAATAATAATAATAATAATAATAATAATAATAATAATAATAATAATAATAATAATAATAATAATAATAATTTATATCGTTAAAAGAATAAGAACAATTTTGTCTCCTGGATAGTCACATAATGTAATCGATTTTTTTAGTGAAATTAAGTGTCATTGCAAAGGACATGACTTGAATTTGTGCCTTTTCAAGGTTTCATATCATTCTCATCGATAGTCAATTTATAATGATAAGTATTTAGGTTGCATTCGAAAATGCTCTATCTCTAGATACATAATTAAGAAATGACCTTGTATCTTGTGAACTATTGACA